CCTCCTCCTCCTCCTCCTCCTCCTCCTCCTCCTCCTCCTCCTCCTCCTCCTCCTCCTCCCCAAAGCTGGGTCCCAGCGACCGCGCGGCCGCGCGGCGGCCGCGCGGCGTGCTGCCTTTCCGCCATCGGTGCTGCCGACGCCGCCGTCGTCGCCGTCGTCGTCGCCGTCGTTGCCGTCATCGGCGTCGTCGTCGGCGTCTTCGTCGCCGCCGGCGTCGTCGCCGGCGTCGCCGTCGTCGTCGCCGCCGCCGCCGCCGCCGCCGTCGTCGTCGTCGTCGTCGGCGGCGGCGGCGTCAGCGGCGGCGGCGTCGCCCGGCGGTCGGTGGGCGGCCGCGGGGATGCGCCCAGGGCTGCTGCTCCTCGGGCTGGCCAGCGGGGGCGCCGAGGCGCGGCGCGGAGGGGCCCCTCGGGGGGGGGGGGGCAGGGGCGCGGGGGCGGGAACGCTCCGCCTGGCGAAGAAGACTTGCAGGACCAATGCCGACAGAGAGAGGGGGCAGCGGGGACCCGCGGGGAGGGCGGAGCAGGAGACTTGAAGACGTGCTGGGAGAGCGAGCGGACCATCACGCTCGCTCGCGGACAGGTCCAGAAGCGGCCTCAGGGAGGGGGCAGTGGGGGGTGAGGCCAGTCGTCCACAAGAAGCCTTCCCGAGAAACCCAACCCGGAGACCCGAGGACGTCTATTGATGTTTGGTGTGGGAGCGTCGAGCTTTCCATGGCAAAACTGTCGAAACTCAAGAAACCCAGGGCTCCCTGGAGGCAAGCACGGTGCTTCTTGGCATGGGTCTCCACCGTAGGTATTTGGGGGCGTGCAGACCCCAGTCTGTTTTAGCCGCCCTCCCACTTCAAGCGTCGAGCGGTCTTCCCTATCCTGTCCTCTTCTGGTGGGCGGGCGGACATCCGATCTGCCTTCACCGCCTGCTTGCCCCATGCTTAGAGGTTCGATGTTCGGGGTGCGATGGGGGGAGCGCGTGAACCCAAGGCAGGAGCCCCCTCCTCCTCCTCCGCCTCCTCCTCCTCCGCCTCCTCCGCCTCCTCCGCCTCCTCCTCCTCCTCTTCCTCCTCCTCCTACTCCTCCTCCTACTCCTCCTCCTCCTCCTCCTCGGGCGGTTTCGGTCGGTTTCGCGGGCGGTGTCGGTCGGTCCTCGTCGATGCTCCAGCCTCGGGAGGCTCACCAGCAGCTGCGCCTCGCCGAGGGCGCTCCAGGGGGGGGGGCAGGGCGCATCCCGCACGGCCGCTGGAGAACCGAGTTGTGTTCAGGGGGAGAAACACACACAGTGAATCGTCGACCCTGCAGGAAATCAAGGAAAATATGGGGGGGGGGGGGAAGACGAACACCCAGAACATATGGGAGGATATCGGGGGATCCTGGGATTTGCGTGTCCCTGGGCTACTTTCTATGTCCCTGGAGGGGAGTGAGGAGCAGAAGACCTCCTCAGGAGGCGGCGGGGCTTCGCAGAAGCCGTCGCGCCTCCTGGGGAGATGTTCAGCGTCGTCGGGGAACGCGCAGGAAACTGCTCAGAAGGCCTGTGGACTTCCGAGCCTTCTGAGAGGGCCCGCCCCTTCTCGCTTTCCCCTCGGGCTCGCCGCCGATCATGAGCAGCACGGTCTGGTCGAGGTGTAAGATCGAGGTCGGTTCGGAGGTGGTACACTAGCTTTATGTCGGGCGTGTCCCCCTACAGGGGGATTTTCGACGAAAAATAAAACAGACCCCAAACCTATTCCAAACAGGTAACAGAATACTAAAAAATAGTCCCCAGACTATGTTTGGACTATTTTTGGAGTATTTTGGGGTATTTCCAATGTTTCGTCGAAAGCCCCCCCCTGTAGGGGGACAGGCCCGACTTAACACTAGTCTTACTCGTGGTTGTCCCATGTTTTTGTGCATACGGGGGGAGGGTACCCGCGAAAGCTCCTCCGCTCGGCCGGCGGAGGCTCTCATGTTTCTGAATGATGCTCGTGTGTCCTAGGCCCAGCCGTAACAGAACCCCTAACGTCCACCTCCTCCTCATCCTCATCCTCATCCTCCTCCCCTTCCGTCCCCCACTCGCGCCTCCCTCTCCCCCACTCTGCATCTGGAAGCCATGCGCGCGACCGATGCAATGAATTCGTGGCTACCCAAGCCCTCGTTTTTGTTGAGTTATCCCTGAACACGTGGGTGGCCCTCCTAATTTAGGGCCCCTCCCAGACGGCGGCGACGCGGTGCGCGACCCGCCTCTCCGCGTGAAGGGGAGGGGGGGAGTGAGGGAGGGGGAGGGGAATGCGGAGGATCCCTTTCGTCCATCCGATGTCAGCGATGCTGTCGATGGAGCCGATACGCCTCGTCTGCCTGCTAAGCTCCGCGGGTGGCATTTCCCAGAGCCAGTGCTTACAGTGCTTGCCAGTTTGTTCAGCCTTCAGCCGTCGATCGGCACGCGTCATTGTTCAGTACATCGCATGCGCGCTCCCACGTGTTGCAGGTCCTTCGCCAGCATCCTACTCCATATTTTCTCGCATGCACCCGTCATTGTTCAGGACATCGTATGCGTGCTCCCACGTGTTGCAGGTCCTCCGCCAGCATCCTACTCCATACTTTTCTCGCATGCGTAATTCCTCCTTCGCACCGCCCGGGCGGACTGGGCGGGTTGCTGGAGACCTGGTCGCAGGGATGTTCCAGAAGTTTGTAATTTCCAGCAGATACACGAAGCGATCGCAGGTCACTGATTGTTCCGCACGTGTCACGGTCACAGTGTCCATGCGCGCAGGCCAAGCCACCATCCTCCGCTGGAGAGGGCGGAGAGGCTTCCGCGCCGCCACCCGTCCTGCAGTCTGGTCAGTGACCCCCAAACGCATCTCAAATGTTACCATCGCGTCATTTGGGCTTCGATGTGGAATTGGACATTTTCCTCTCTGTGGGACGAGGGTTGCGCGCCTCATCGAAGACCTCTTGCCAAGAGACTTGACATCAGCGCCCAGTGCATTTTTTACATTCGGGGCGGCAGCATGGAGCTGCGCCCAATCCGCCGCCAGTCCTCTCAAGATAGCCTGAGGATGAGGGATGCTGAAGTATTTCGGGATGCAGGAGGGGCGTGCACGGGATAGGAAGGACGGGGGAGGGCAGAGGCGGAATGAGCAGTGAGGAGGAGGAGAAGCAGGAGGAGGAGGAGGATCAGGAGGAGGAGGAGGAGGAGGAGCAGGAGGAGGTTGGACTGGTGATGAGGGCGGGACGGCGGTCATAGATGAGGGAAGAGGGGGAGAAAAGAGGAAGATGCATGGAGGGGGAAGGTGGATGGAGGAGGGAAGAGTAAGAAGGGAGGACAGAAGACGGAGGAAGGTGGAGGATAGAAGGGACGATGAGGAGGAGGAGGAGGAGGAGGAGGAGGAGGAGGAGGAGGAGGAGGAGGAGGAGGAGGAGGAGGGGGCGGAGGAGGGATGGAGGGGATTGCGAGGGGGAGGATGATGAGGATGCCTTGGGGGGGCCCTTTCCAGCTCTTTGCCCGCGCCCGTGGAAACGTCCATCCAATCTGACCTGCAGAGGCCTCAGTGGGCCCTGGACACGACAGGGCCGTTTTTCACCGGTTCCGTTTTACCGTTTTTGTTGCCGGTTCCAACGTGTGTTTTTACCGGTTCCGTCGCCGTTTTTTGACCGGTTCCGGCTCCGGTTCCAATCCTGGAGCTGTTTTTTTGCCGTTTCTGGTCGCCGTTTCTTTGCCGCTTCCATTTTCAAGGGACATTTTTGTGGAAACGGTGGAAAAAACGGCCCTGCCGTTTCCGAGGCCCACAGAAGGCAGAGGCACGCAGGGCCCACGTGCGCGACGGAAGACCGACGGGTCCGGCTGCGCAGCCGCTCGCGCGTGACCTCCCTTCGTACGGCCGCGGGCGTGCGCGAGCGGCTCCGGTTCCCCATGTGGCGCGCGTGCCGTGCCGGCGGCCCGCCCGAGCCGCTGCGTCGCAGGGTCGCTGCGCCACGTCGCGCGGTGCAGTGTTTGGTTCCGTCGCTCGCCGCGGGGTGGCCCATCCCCAGACCTCCGACGTCCTGATCTCTCCGTGGCGTCGACCCTCAGAGGAGACTGGACCCCCTTTTTCCCAGGACCGGTTTCGCATCCTGCGTCGCTTCTTGACGGCCCCGAGGCCCGGGGAGGGCCCCCACAGGCCGAGAATAGGGAAGAACCCTCCGTTGCCATTGTGCGACTGATTCATGTCGGGGGTGGACAGAACCCCCAACAGTGACACGTCGATTAGTGCATTGTCCGTTTCCGGTTGTCGAGAGGGTGCCGCGGCCGTTCTTTTCCAGGCTTTGGCCCGCCAGGTTTGGGCCTCGGGCCGTTTTCACTAAACCACGTTTTACTAAAGGGGGGTCTGTCCATCCCCGATCACGAATCGAGGGGGTCTGGGCCCGACGGCCTCGAAGGACCTCGCCCCCGACGCGCGCGCCGCCCCGACGCGCGCGCGCAGCTGTGGCGGCTGCCGCCGCCGGGCGCCTCGGGTGCCGCGGGCGAGCGCCTGGCCGCCTGGCCGGCGGCGGAGGCGGGCCGGCCGCTGGCCGCCGCCGCCCTCTGCCGCCAGTCTCGGCGCCGCCGCCGCCGCCCGCCGTCGCCGCCGCCGCCGCCGCCGCCGCCACCGCTGCCGTCGTCGCCGCGTCCTCGTCGCCGTCGCCGTCGCCGTCGCCGTCGCCGTCGTCTCCGCCGCCGCCGCCGCCGTCGCTTCTTCCCCCTGCTCGCCCGTTTCTGGCGCCGGGGCCGTCGAACATCCATCCGAGCAGCGTGGCCTGCCCAGGTCAGGCGTGCCTAGGTTGAGGGTCAAATCGCTCCAGAGCGTTTCAGAGCGGCCGCGGCCCCCGATGCAGCCTCCAAGCCCGCCCGTCAGAGATTTCGTCCTCGTCTTGCCTTCTTCTTACCAGGCTGACAGCTGAGAGAGGCCCAGGGACTATCTTGAGCGGATTGCGGCCGCCTCGGTCGTCGTGATCTCCGAGGCGACGGCCTCCGCGCGACGGCGACGGCGGCGGCCTCCTGCCGACGACGACGGCGACCCACGACCGAGGACGTCGACGACGACAGCCACGTCGCTGGCGACGGCCGACGACGACGTCGACGACGACGTTCACGACGACGGCGCCGCAGTCAGGGGGAGGAGGAGAAGGAGGAGGAGGAGGGCGAGATGGGAGGAGGAGGGAGGACCAGGGCGAGCAGACACGTCGCGAGTAGGCGACGGCATGCGACGGCGGCGGCGACGGCGGCGGAGACGGCCTACGACGAGGACGGCGACGCTGGCGGCGGCGAGGACGGTTTTGTCGACGGCGTCGGCCCCCGGCCGCTCGCGCGTGTTGACTTTGGGCCAGAGAGTTTCATGGGAGAGACTGCCGTGGCCACGCAGGCGGTCAGGGAGGCTTCGAGGAGCTTGGCTTCTTAGAAGCCAGCGCCTTCTTCCTCCTCCTCCTCCTCCTCCTCCTCCCCTCCTCCTCCTCTTCTTCCTCCTCCTCCTCCCCTCCTCCTTCTCCGCCTGCGCCAGAGTATAGAAGTTCTATACTCTGGCGATCGCGGGCGCCACCCAATGGGGGGGGGGGCCGGAGGGGAGGGCCTCCCCGGGGCCAGCGCGGCGGCGGTGCAGCGCCAGCGCGGCAGCGCGTAATTATATCCCTCCCCAGACCCGGGTGGCGCTGCCGGGAACCGTGGCCTTGCCGAATGGGCGAGCGGTAGGGGGAGGAGTGAGCAGTACTTTCGCTCGAACGTGTGCATTTTTCCGTCGGCGAGGACCATCGAGGAGCATCCTTGATCATTTGGCGGAAAAACCACGCACGAAAACGAAAAAAACACAGGAAACGGGCGTCCGAGCGATGGCCAGAGTAGTCATGTGAGAATGGAAAGGGGACGGGTTGGGATGATCCTTGTTAAGTTTTGGGTGGTCATTCAACAAGCACGATTCGTTCAACGGGGGGGGGGGGTGACCGCTGTAACAGGCGGCGTGTCGCGAAGAAGTGGCCTCGAGCTCAAGCAAGGCCCCACAAACCTCAAGCCCCCGTTCTTGAAAGACCCTGGGTCGGGTCGGACGAAAAGGGGGGTTCAGTTGAGACCCATGCCAAGAAACACCCTGTTTGCCTCCAGGGTGCCCTGGGTCTCTTGGGTTTCGATGGCTTTGCCATGGAAAGGGTGACGCTCCCACACCACAGAATCAAGCGACGTCCTGAGGTCTCAGGCAGGGTGCCCTGGGTCTCTTGGGTTTCGATGGCTTTGACATGGAAAGGGCGACATTCCCACACCGAAAAATCAAGCGACGCCCTGAGGTCTCAGGGCCTCCTCCTCCTCCTCCTCCTCCTCCGCCTCCTCCTCCTCCTCCGCCTCCTCCTCCTCCTCCTCCTCCTCCTCCGCCTCCTCCTCCTCCTCCTCCTCCTCCTCCTCCTCCTTGGGCTTCCGGTGGACGGGTCCTCGTGGTCGGGCGCCCCCGCTGCAGGGACAAAGGGGGCAGCTCGGGCCCCGCCGCTGGACGCCTCGCGCCGATATGCACTCGCGCCCCTCCCGGCGCCAGGAGGCCCCAGAAGCTGCTGCGCCGCTCCCCCCCTTGGCTGACCCCCCCCCTTCTCCCCTGACCTTCCAGGAGGGCTAAGAAATGGCACGCGACTTGAAAGCCCATCCCAGAGCTATCATATGCCTTGGTTTTAGGCTGTTTCGTCTAGTTCTTTTTAGGTTGTTAGACCTCCCGTGCTAAAAAGAAAGCTCTCTGGAAGGTCAGGGTCGTCCGACCCGGCAAGGGTCGTCGGCGAAAAGCGTACCTGTACCCGCGCCGTCGCGGGCCCGTTCTTGAGGCCGCGACCGACCCCGCGGGAGCGGGGCGTTTCTGTGCGGACGCCCCGCGCAAGGTGTCCGCACGACCGCGTATCCGCGGTGTCGCGCTCCGGAATCCAGACCGCAAGGGTTTGTTTATGGATACGTTCGCCGCTCGAGAAAAAGCCTCGAGCTTCGATGTCTGTTCACGGGAGCCTTGGGCGGCGGCATTGGAATCAGCTCTCCCTGCATCTGGAATGCATTTGGACCGCATTTGGCTCTTCCTCCTGCTCATCCTCGCCCTTCCAGTTCCCCCGCCCCCTCCTCGTTCTTCCCGTCTCTCCTGTGAGGGTCGCATCGGGTCCAAATCTGGTCCAAGTCTAGTCCCAAATGAGCGACGCACGAAAACGGGGTCGTCCTCGCCGACACTCGTGCGTGAGGTGCATCGCCTTCCGTGCGGCGTGCCGCCTTGTTGGCCCGCGTGAGCCGCGGCGGAAGCTCGCTATGCCATCTCGCGTGAGGCCCGTTCTTGATCGTCGCTCCACTGTATCTCAACTCCGACCCAAAGCAGGCCCAAATCGGACCGCGCCTGGGGCCACGTAGACTCCCATGCAACGGACAGCAGATCGGCGCGCGGAACGCCGTCGGGGGGGCCCAGCGCCGTGCACGGAGATCCAGAAGTTGATGCTTCTGCCGTTTGCGCTTCCACCTCTCTCTGAGTGGCCTTCTCTATTGAGCAGGGACCGACCGCCCCGGCATTTCTATAGGCCTACCGCGAAAGGTTCTCATGACCTAAGAATATCTCGCGCAAGCCAGAAAAGGTTCTTAGAACATTTTGGTGGGCCTATTGGCGAGCCAGGACGCTTCGCCGCTGCTTGACTCTTCTCCTCCCCCCCCCGCGTCCGCCCGCTGTGCCCTTCGCTTCCCACTTCGTGCGTGCTGGCCAATCCGCTCGTCGGTGCCCCCGTCTAGCTCCCGTCGCTGGTGCAGCAGCCAAGGGATCGTTTTTGTCACCCATTGTTTTGCCGGTCGGCGCGGGCCCTCGCACCCCCCGTCCCCCCACCCTTGGAGCAGATCTCGGCTGTTTGGGGCGCCTGCTCTGAGCAGGTGGAGACTCCCTCCCCCCTCGGACGCACTGCTGCAAACAGTCGCGCGAAGCAGACATCCGGAGCCAGTCTCCCCCTATCCCCTCCTCACCTTCCCCCCAATGTCGAAACGCCGAATCTGGATTCCCTTCGGGGATCATCCGTTAAAATTGGAACGATACAGAGAAGATTAGCATGGCCCCTGCGCAAGGATGACACGCACAAATCGAGAAGTGTATACAATTTTAAAAAAATGTCGAAACGCCGAATCTGAAGACGCTCTGCCTCGCCGCCGACGCTGCTGTCTGCTTCTGTGGATCTGCGCGCGCTGCTCGTGGACGTCGGCTGCGAGCTCGGGGGGAGGTGAGAGAGAGGGGGGCGGCGGGCCTTCTCGTGACGCTCGGAGGGCCTCCTGGCCTTCCGAGAAGTTGTCCTAGCCTTGTGGACGGCATTCGATGAAGAGGAAGTTTGGTGCCAAATAGTTCACAGATGTCTAAAACATGTATAAAAGATGTCTTACACATGTAAATGCATGTTCAAAAGCATGTTTCAACTATTTCAAACTCATGTGTACTTCAATGATGGGATTGTCGGTGTGTCCAATGTCATGGCATCCACAATCCGAGCCTCTCCCGGGTGCGCTGAACAAATCTCAGACGGCGCGAGGGCCTCTGCGAAGCCCCGCCACCTTCTCTGAGAAGACCTGCTCCTTCTCACTGTCCACACCCCGGCGCGCCGCCGAATACGCTCAAGCCTGGAGCCACGGCCCTCGAAGGATCGACAACAACCGATGCGGGGCCTCGCGGGGACGCCGACCGGGCGTGGCCGGCAGGGAGAAGTCCGTTGCGCAGCGCCCTGGGACGCTCGCAGAGCTCTCGGGAACGCTCGGAGAAGGCCGCGGCGCCCGAGACACCCTGTACAGCCGCCAGATCTCCCAGACCCCCCGACGTCATGGCTATTTCATGACGTCGACCCCCAGGAGGTCTCGCCCCTTCCCCGGGACCGGTTTTTTTCATCCTGAGTCGTTTCTTGACGGTCCCAAGGCCCGGTAAGGGCCCCCAGAGGCCGAAAATAGCGAGACACCTCCTGTCGTGATCTTTTCAGGCATCGAAGGGGTCGAGGCTCAGAGATTCTCGATTCGTCCTCGCTCGAATTTGTCCTCGTCCTGGCTGCGTCTTGGGAGGGGAGGGAGGAGGAGGAGGAGGAGGAGGAGGAGGAGGAGGAGGAGGACGAGGAGGATAAAGAGGAGGATAAAGAGGAGGATGAGGAGGATTCACCCTCACTCGAGTTTGTCCTCGTCCTGGCTTCGTCTTGACACCCGCGGCGGCGCCGGCGGCGAAGCGGCGAAGCGGCGCGGGCCCAGGAGGGCGGCGGCCCGGCGCTGGGCGTGCTCCTGCGGCGGGGCGGGGGCGGCGAGGCGCAGGTGGTGGCGGTGGTGGCGCAGGCCTCGCGCGCGCCGGCGGGAGGCAGGCTGCGCTGCTGGTTTTTCACGAACGAGATGGGCACGGAAAAAATGGGTACAATGCCCAACAGCAGTTCCTGTTCATTTTGAACAGGACTCGCTGTCCGCGCCGCCGCGGCCTGTGTCCATTCGAGACAGAAGGCCGCCTGCCCAACAGCGGCCGCTATTGGTTTGGGACAACATTTGTTGTTGGGCATTGTGCCCATTCTTTCGGTACCCATTTCGGGTGTCCAAATTGGTGTGCGGAGCCTTGAGACGCAGACCCCCTCGAGTGTGGAAAAAGCGTCTCGACGGGAGGGTTTTCGCCATTTTCGGCCTCTGGGGGCCCTTACCGGGCCTCGGGGACCGTCAAAGAACGACTCAGGATAAACAAAAACTGGTCCCGGGGAAGGGGTCGAGACCTCCTGGGGGTCGACGTCACGAAAAGTCGTCGTCTGATTCTGTGTTTTGCCGGTCGGCGCGGTCCCTCGCACCCCCTTCCCCCTGCCCCATGAAGTAGTTCTTGGCTGCCTTTGTCGCCTGTTTCGAGCAGGTGGAGCCTCCTCCATAGGACGCACTGTTGCAAACTGTCGCTCTGCATTCGAGGGAGAACACGCCAGAAACATAACCTTTTGGGAGGTCCGCGTGGACTTGTTGGATCCGCGCGGGCCCCCCCCCGGCGGCGCCTCCTGCGCGCCCCTGGCGCGCTCCAAGAAATCCGCGCGGACCGTCGGAAGTTGAAGGTTATTGCGTTTGTTATTCTTCTAGTCATGTTCATGTCGGGAGCCTTGAGACGGGGGTCAATGCAGGCAGGGTCAGCCAGTGCGCCGCAGCTCGCAGGATCTTGCAGAGCCAGGCGTGCATGGACTGGGGCCTGGGTGCGAGATGTTGCAGGACTCTGCCGGATCCTGCGGAGTCTGACTCGCCCGGGTCTGTATTGACCTAGGTCACTAGATCCCCGATTCATGTTTGCCACGCGCAGAGGGGGCTGGGGGGGAGGAGGGAGGGCTTGTTAGAAGCACCCTTGCTTCTTAGAAGGCGCGGGCCTTGTCTGTGACAGAGCGCCTTCTGTGGACGCTTTGGAGGGGGGTGGGGGTCGAACAGGCCACCCCCCCGAGATGCAAGAGGGGGGTTCGAACCGAGTTCACCCTCTCTCCCTTGAGAATTGCAAGGGGAGGGTTCGGACCGGTGGGGCTCCCCATCCCTGAGTGCTTCGGTCTGGGCCCCCCCCCCTCTCCCCTTGAGAACTGCAAGGGGAGGGGTCGAACCGGCTGCCCCTGCCCTTCGCCAATGGCAGACGACGACGACGCCGACGACGACGGCGACGACGGTGACGGTGACGGTGACGCCGCCGCCGACGAGGACGACGATGACGATGACGACGGCGACGGCGACGGCGACGGAGTAATTACGAGCCAGCTGCTACGGTCGCCTCGAAACAGAAAGGTTGGTGTAGGGCAGGGTAGAGTAGAGTAGGGTAGAGTAGATCAAAGTAAGGTAGAGAAGGATTGACAGTATAATGATGTCGGGTCTAATATAGAGTAGAGTAGTGTAGAGTAGAGCAGCGCAGAGTAGGAGTAGATAGTGTAGTGCAGAGGAGGCTAGGGCAGGGCAGGGTAGGGTAGAGTAGAGTAGGGTAGAGTAGGACAGAGTAGGGGAGAGTAACTTGGATGGTAGAGTGGAGGCGGGTATAGTAGAGGACAGCGGAGTAGAGTAAAGTAGAACAGACTAGAGTCGACTAGAGTAGAGAAGGTTAGAGTGAGAGTAGAGTAGAGTAGAGTAGAGTAAAGTAGAGTAGAGTAGAGTGTGAATGAAGTAGGAGTAGGAGCAGAGTAGAGTTGAGTCGAGTAGAGCAGAGTGTGATAGAGTATATTCCGTTGGTTTTGGGTAGGGCCCAGTAGAGTACGGTTGAGTAGAACAGAGTAGAGTGGGGTAGATCGTAGAACCGAGTCGGTTATAACAGAGTAAAGAGAGTAGAGTAGAGTAGAGTAGAGTAGAAAGGACCAGGGTCTATCAGTAGAGGGGAGTAGGGTATAATCGGCGTAGAGTAGAGCACGAATAGAGTAGAGTAGAGGAAGGAGTGGAGTAGAGTAGAGTAGCATAGAGTATGTTAGGGTATTGTGGGTAGAGTGTAGCAGAGTATACTAGAGAAGGGTAGGGAAGGTTGTAGAGGGTAGATTGGTGTAGAGTGGAGTAGAGTCCACGCCAGTCCAGTCCAGTCTTCTTCTGTATGGTCTATTTCAGTCCACTCCAGTCCACTTCACGACAGCTTCTTGAATGATTCGGAATCTGCGCTGGCTGATTTTTGTTTAGGCTGTTTGAAATTTTGACGTTGCGTGTTCAGCAGTCTGTTGTCCGTCGTCGTCGTCATCGTTCTTATCGTCGTCATCGTCGTCGTCCTTGTCGTCCATGATTTTCAGAGGGGGCGATGGGGTGCGACGATTGGCAACTCCAGGCCCCCCCCCCCGATTCGAACCCTACGCACGTGCAACTCAAGGGGGGTGGGAGGCGGTTCGACCCCTCCCCCCCCCACTGGAGGGAGGGGGGGGGTCCGGTTAGGGAGGCAGGCCTCCCAGCCCCTGGTTCCGACGTGTTTCGATGTTTGTCCAAGGCAAGTTTTCACTAAACACGTTCTCTCGTCAAGAGGTGTAGGCCCGGCTCCTTTCCAGAACCAGTCTCCTAATAAGCCGTCCCCCTCCCTCTACCACCTTTGTGCGCGCTGCTACTTGTTGGGCGCCGCGTAAAATTCTACGCCTACCAGATGAGCGACGCAGAACCGGGCTCGTCTTCACCGACATTGGCGCGTAAGCTGCCCGCGTAAGGCGTGAGCGCCCTCACTTCCAATGTAGCGTGCCGCGCTGGTAGCCCGCATGAACCACCGCGTGAGGTCGCTCTGTCATCTCGCGTACAGTGGAAACCCATGCCAAGAAACACCCTGCTTACCTCCAGGGTGCCCTCGGTTTCTTGCGTGTCGATGGTTTTGCTGTTGGAAGCGTGACGCTCCCACGCCGAAAATCAATGGATGTCCTGGGGCCTCAGGGTTGGGTTTCTCGTGCAAGGTTTTTTGTGGTGGAGCCCCTACTGTAAGACCTTTTCGTCGTTCAAATGGGGTCCGACTCGATGGGGTCTGAGGATTGCGCCGCGTCGCCGAAGCACCGGCGATGCGGCTCGGTGTTGGGCCCGATTCTCTGCATGCCGACGTCACCCGCATGGCCTATCGCAGCTCCAGGCTTTGGCCCCCCTTTGAGCACACCCCTTGTGCGTTTCGTCGCTCCTCTTCGGCAGACTCCTCACACGTTTCGCGGCCGTATGGGGATCCCCACCGACGGCCCCAGTCGCTGGGCTCACATGGTGATCCGCCACAGTCCGACACACCCCTCGCACGCTTTGTGGACCCAGTGGGAGCACCACCGACGGCACCAGTGTCTGTGTTCACATCGTGACCCGCCCCAGTTCGGCGTTCTCCGCACATTCTTCGTGGCTTCGCAGGGAGCCCCACCAAGGGCCCCAATGGCACTGATCACGTGGTGACCCGCCCCATTTCGGCAGGCCCCTCACACGCCTCGTGGCCCCCTAGGGAGCCCTACCGAAAGCCCCAGTGGGAGGATTCGCATGGTGACTAGCACAATTTCGGCACACCCCTCACGCGCTTCGTGGCTGTATCGGGAGCTCGCGGTGTTTGCATGCCGTCGCCCCGCCCCGTTTCGGCACAATCATCACACACTTCGGGGTCCCCCCAGTTTGCGATTTGAACCGCGAGAGTGCGTGCGTGAGTGGGGGACAGTGAGTGCAGTCGACGAAGCGATCCCTCTGTTTGTTCTTGTGTTTGAGCGGTCCTGCTTGCAGCCGCCACTTGTTCAGAAGGGGGTCGGGCTCGTTGCACCCCGCACACGTTCTGTGGCCCCACGGGGAGCTCCACCGAAGGCTTGTGTCAGGGTTCGAAGGCGTCCCGCCGCCAATTGCGGCACACCCCTCACACGTCTCGAGGCCCTACATGGAGTTTCCCCCTCGTTCGTCCCACCTGCCGTACCCACGCACTGCATATGGTTGGGTCCTTGGCTCGGAGAAGTTCCAACCCTCTCGTGTTCTGGGTCCTCGTTTTGAATCCGAAGCGCCGCGTGCCTGCCTCCTCCTCCTCTCCTCCTCCTCCTCCTCCTCCTCCTCCTCCTCCTCCTCCTCCTCCTCCTCCTCCTCCTCCTCCTCCTCCCCCTCTCCCCTCCTGATCCTTCTCCTCCTCCTCCTCCTCCTCCTTCTCCTCCTCCTCCTCCTCCTCCTCCTCCTCCTCCCCCTTTCCCCTCCTGATCCTTCTCCTCCTCCTCCTCCTCCCCTCTCCTCATCTGCCTCCTCCCTCCCCCTCGTGCGAGGGGCTTCGGGCAGAGGACCGCGTGCTGTGCGCCCGATCCTCTGCCGACGGCCTCCGTGTGTGTGTGTGTGTGTGTTTCCGAGAGCCTGCGCGGGCCGACCCATCGTCCGGGACGACCTCGGAGAGCAGCTGGAACGTTTGCACGCCCGAAATGGGTACTGAAAGAATGGGTACGATGCCCAACAGCAGCTCTTGTTCATTCTGAACAGGACTCGCTGTCCACGCCGCCGCGGCCTGTGTCCATTCGAGACAGGAGGTCGCCCGCCCAACAGCGGCCGCTCTCGGTTTGGGACAACATTTGCTGTTGGGCATTGTACCCATTTTTTCGGTGCCCATTTCGGGCGTCCAAAGAACAGAGCTGGGGCCTCCACATTGAGCCCTTCCACAATTACTCAATATGAATACTACTCTCCCTCTTCCCCTGATGGCGTGCTGGGAGTAGCCGACCCCCCCCCGCGTCCTGCTTCTTTCCACACAGGATTCCCGGGAGTTGGGTTTTCGCCTGCATTTGTTTTCAACATGCTGCTCTCGCTGAGGCGCCGGCCTCATTTTCGGGCCCCGCTCGTTCCGAATCGTGCTCCCGCTGCAGCGCTGGCCTCATTGCCGTGCTTCCGCTCGTTCCGAATCGTGCTCCCGCTGCAGCGCTGGCCTCATTTCCGCGCTTCCGCCCGTTTCGACTCGTGCTCCCGCTGCAGCGCTGGCGTCATTTCCCGTGCCATGCCACAGCACACGCGCACACACGCACATACACACACACACACCACCACCACCACCACCACCACCACCACCACCACCACCACCACCACCACCACCACCACACCACGCACACACGCACGCACGCACGCACGCGCACCACCACCCACTACGCACGCGCGCGCGGAGCCACAGGTCCGCTACGACACGCGTCCGCGGATAGAGAAAATCAGCGCCATGGTAAGGGATGGGAGGGAGGGGTAGGACGTCAGATATGACGCGAGCGCACCTAGCTTGCCTCCTCCTCCTCCCCCTCCTCCTCCTCTTCCCCCTTCTCCCCCTCCTCTTCCTCCTCCTCCTCCTCCTCCGCTTCCTCCTCCCCCTCCTCCTCCCCCCCTCCTCCTCCCCCCCTCCTCCCCCTCCTCCCCTTCCTTCCTCCTCCTCCTCTTCCTCCGCGTCCTCCTCCTCCTCCTCCTCCTCCTCCTCCTCCTCCTCCTCCTCCTCCTCCCCCGCTTCCTCCTCCTCCCCTCTCCCCCTCCCCCTACTCCTGCATGGCGGCTGCGGGGACGGGCGCGGAGAGGATACCCACGGGAGGGGCCGTCCTGGGCCACGCGCTGCAGGGCGCGAGGGCCACCAGGGCCTGTTGGCTGCAAGGTGGCGTGGTTTCTGGGCCAACCTAGGGTCCAAAACCGCGCGCGGGTTTGCCATGCGTCAGCGCCTTCCCCTCTTGGACCAGTCTGACCTGGGATTGATTCCAGATCGTTACGATGGCCCACCCCCAACGTGACATAGCTGATGATGTTGACATGCGGATACGGCCCGTCCGGGTGAGCAGCAAGCGTGCTACTCCAGGAGACGCTGCCGCTGCTGCCGATTGCAACAAGCAGTGCGTCTGGTTCGGGCGATGGTTCGGGAGGGTTCTTGATTGGCAGGAGCATTTGGGCCGGCCCAGGTTTTGCCTGAGCTGGGAAGCCCGATTCTGCAGATACCAGGGCAGGGAGTGGTAACGCCGGGTCTTTGGGACCCCATCGTGCAGAACACAGTCAATCCGCGCGGACATCCAACAATTTCTGTTCATGCAGTGTTTCCATGTTCGATATCAAGCTCTCAGGGTTAGGAAAAGAAGGATCGCGGATCGGGGGGTTAGGATGTTGTCGATCCCCTTGCCCCCGTAGCCACGGATGGGCTATACTCCAAATCGTTGACGCTTCGCTTCAAGTATCACCGCTCGCCCATCCAGAAACGATCTCAAGCGAGCCTTGCACAACGAAACTATAATGGTCAAGTCGCACGTTCGTCCCTCCTCCCCCCCTTCCTCTGATGGCGTTGCACTGCGGAGGAAAGGAAGACTAGCAAGGTCCGAGGAGGAGGAGGAGGAGGAGGAGGAGGAGGAGGAGGAGGAGGAGGAGGAGGAGGAGGAGGAGGAGGAGGAGGAGGAGGAGGAGGAGGAGGAGAGGGAGGATCAGGAGGGAAAAAACACAGACACAATTAATCGTCCATTGCCTAGGAAAATATTGGAAAATATGGGAAGTGGGGGGGAAGACAGAAATCCAGAAAATATATGAAACTATGGGGGAATTCTGTTATTTGTGTGTATTTATGTGTGTGTCCCAGGGCCCCTTCAGAGGAGGAGGAGGAGGAAGAGGAGGAGGAGGAGGAGCTGAGCGTGCTACCAACAGGTGCCCCGCCCCCTTGGAAGAAGTGGGCAGGACTGGCAGGTCCGATGAGGAGGGGGAGGAGGCGGGCCTCCGCGCCGCCGCCGCGGCGCAGGCCCGGTGCCTGGTCGCTCACAGCCAGGCGCCTGCGGAACGCTCTGGCGAGGAGAGGGGGGTGATGACTACGGGGGGGGTGATGACAACGGGGGGGTGATGACAACGGGGGGTGATGACAACACGGGTTTTTTGGATCATTTTTTGCATACTTTTGGGTATTTTTTTTTTTGTTCGAAAATCCCCCTGTAGGGGGGGGGGACAGGCCCGACTCAACGCAAGGCCCGTCTGTGATCGTCGTCGTGTGTGCGGTTTCTCTCTCCAGTCCCGGGTTGTCTTGGTTCTTGCTCCTTGTCTCGGGGGCCGCAAAGAGGGGGGTGATGACTACGGGGGGGATGGAGATCATGGCGGGCGCCATGATAGTCTCCCAGATTTTATGTCGCCTCTTCTTATTTCATTACGTCCCTGCCCCCCCCCGCTGGGCCGCGCACATGCCGCCGGTCATGATTTGCACCCCCCCTCCTCTTGGACACCCCCTGCCGCTCCCGAGCTCTGGCGAGGAGAGAGGTTTTGCAAGATTTAAAGGTTCTTGGAGCTTGAGAGAGCGAGAGATTACGAGATTAACGTGCTCTGGGAGATTGAAGGATCCCGGGGGACTGGGATATTCAGTGATATTCATGGCTCTCACACACTGAACTCGCAGAGCAGTTGTTCAGGGATTTGTTTGGCATCGTGAGATTCTGGCAGTCTGGGAGTTGACAGATTCTGGGAGGGGCCTTCTTGGGGACACGTTTTGGGTCATGGAGGAAATCCTGCAGGGACAGGCTGTCATGGCCAGCTCGATTTCCCCTCTTGGGCTGTCTTGGTTGCATCCCGACCCGTCTTGGGGCCTCTTTCAGCCGTCTTGAGGGCATCTGGGCCGTCTTCGAGCCTTCCTGGGCCATCTTAGGGTCCTCTTGTGACTTTGTTGGGCGGTCTTGGAATCCTCTTGAGGACATTCTGGGCCGTCGTGGGCTGACTGAAGCCAGACAAGGGCAATTGTTGTTATATATGTTTAACCAAACCTTGTTTTTGACTCTCGACGTCTCTTGGGCGTCCTCTCAGAGCCCTCTTGGGCCGTCTTTGGGGGTGTTTGAAGGCCATCTTTGGGCCATCTTGTGGCCTTCGTGGGCCGTCTGTGATTCGGCCTTCTTGTGCAGTCTTGGGACTGCCTTTGGGGCTTTTGACCGTCTTGACGCAAGCTCGGCTGTCTTGGGGCCTTTTTGTTTCGTTGGCTGTATTGGCGAGTTGCTGCTGCTGTAGCTGGTCTTGAGTGTGTTGCTCAACACGTCGGGTTGTCTTTGTGTTTTTGTTGCTGTTTTCGGGCGGTTCTCGCCTCCGTCGGCCAGAGTTTCGTTTCTGCCAGATCCCTTCAAATCATTGTCTTGATATTGGAAACTGATAGCGTCGGCTCTGGAAACTGGAGGGGGATCCTAACGGCACGCGCGGCCTCTGGCCTCGGGGTGTGGTCGGCCCTGGAAAGCATAAAGAACTTTTTGCCGGACAGCAGAGTAGCATGGCAGCACGAGGTAGGTCCGAGTGATGACGTTCTGGTGGGGTGAATCCCTCTTAGGGAGGAGTTCCTGGGGAGGGGGGAAGCGCGGCCAGGCCCGGGTAGCACACTCCATCCCCCCACGACGGCCCAAGAGGCCCCCAGAAACATCCAAGAGGTCCCCAAGACGGCCCTAGAGAGGTTCAAGGGGGCTCCACTGCGGCCCAAGCGCGCTCGAAAAAAGAGCCCAAGACGGGCCAAGAGCGTTCGAACACGGCCCTAATGGCCTCAGATGGCTTCAAGACTGTCCAATGGGGGCCCAAGGCGGCCTAAGAGGCCCTCAAGACGACCCCCCGAGGGCTTCAGGAGGCTTACAAATATTGATTTGTTTGGGATGTTTGAACGTTTTTAGTGTTCTCGCCTTCTCCGGCTTCCGACGGCCCAACAGGCCCGACAGATCGCCCCACGACAGCCCACGAGGCCCCCAAGAGGGCCCGACGACGGCCCAAGAGAGCTCCAAGGAAGCCCAAGAGGGCCCCAAGAGGGACCCAGAGGGGCCCAAGAGGCACCCAAGAGACCCCCGAGAGGGCCATGTTAGGCTTTCAAGAGGGTCGATCAGGGCCCCGAGAGGGTACCAAGACGGCCGAAGCCCCTCAAGACGGCTCAAGAGGCCCCCGGGACTGCCCAAGAGATTCCAGAGAGAACCCCATATTGCTCGAGGAGGCAACAGGCATGGATGTCATATAGGGTTATCCTTATGTTTGTGTGTTCTCGCCTTTTCGGGCCCAGGTCGACCGAAGACGCCGATATTGCCCCGAGACAATCTAGGGGACTCCCAAGAGGGTCCCAAGACGGCCAAAGGGGTCCGAAGAACGGCCACAGAGATCTTCAAGAGTTGCAATAGAGGATGAGTACGACGACGACGAGGATGAGGAGGAGGAGGAGGAGGAGGAGGAGGAGAAGGACGAGGACGAGGACGAGGACGAGGCCCCCAGGAAGGTTCCCAAGAGAGCCCAAGATGGCCCAAGAGGTCGCCAAGAGGGCCGCAGAGGGCCCCAGGGCGGCCCCGCAGTGCCCAAGACGGCCCTGGCCTCCCATCGCGGCCCAGGAGCCCCCGAGGAAGGCCCAGACTGCTCCCAAGCAAGAGCACCCCCATGCCAGCCTGAGGAGGCAAACAATGTTGATGTTGCTAAGCTTGTTCGGTGTTTTTTGTTGGTTCTCGCCCAAAAATCGGCCTAACACGGCATGGAGGGCCTCCGAGATTGCCCCAAAACGGACCAGGAGATCCCCAAGGGGTTCCCAAGGGAGCCCCCTGAGTGCCGTCGGAGGCCGCCAAGAGGGCCCCAAGAGGGCCCCAAGAGGGCCCCAAGACGGGCCAAGTTCCCCATGCTAGCTCAAGAGGGACCCAGAACCGCCCAAGAGGGCCCCTAGACACCCAAAAGGGCCCCTTCCCCGGACGGCCTAATGACGGACGCAGTTTTGGCGCCAAGGCTCCGAAAAGCATCAGGTGATTGGAAAGCTCTTGTTACTCGAGCCGGTGACGTGAAAAGCGTTGAACGCCACCGGTCCCAAGGGCGAGCCGTGGCGCAGAAATCTCTCAACACCACGGCGCCCAAGAGCGAACGGTGACGTAACCAGTTCTGAAACGCCAGGGGTCCCAAGAGTGAACGATGATGCAAGCAGTTCTTAACTGCCATGCTCCCAAACAACGAACGGTGACTTAACCAACTCTTCACGCCAAGGCTCCAAGAGCGGTCTGTGACGTAGAGAGTGATTAACGCTAAGGCTCACAATAGCCACAGGTGACGTAGCAAGCTCTTGACCCCAAGGCTCCCACGAGCGAGCGATGACGCGAAAAAGCTCTTCGCACCAAGTCTCCAACGCGCGAACGGTGACGTGAAACACCTCTTATCGCCCAAAACTCCCAAGAGCGAACAGTACCGTGAGCCCTCTCGGTTCAAGTTCATGAAATGCTCTTTCCGTTCCTGTGCCGATCCAGGTTACGCCCCAACGTGTACAAGGCACGACTGCGGATGCATTTGCATATACATGTATATATACATATATATATACATGTATATATATAACACAGTGAGGAGCCCGGACCGTCTTGCATTGCCCGTGGGTGCGGTGCGGGTTCTTTGGCGTTGTTGGTGCCGTCGCCACCCGCCCCGCCCCGCGACCGCGACCCCGAGCTGTCTGGCAGTGTCCCTCAGTGCCGTGCGGGTTCTCGTGGCCGTTGGTGCCGCTGTGGCCCCCGGCAGCCTGCGCCGCGCCTCCCCCCCTCCCTGGCGAGTGTCGTCCCCCATCGCACTCCTGCCGCTCTTCCTCTTCCGCCTCCCCCCTTCTCGCTGGCACCCGCTGGCGGGATGAGGGAGGCGCGGGGATGAGGGGGGAGGAAAGGAGAGAGAAGGAGGATAGAGAGATGGAAGGAGGAGTATCCTGCCCTTTCCGCGACGACGACTCCTGCCGCTCTTCCGCTTCCGCCTCCCCCTCCACGCTGGCACTCGCTGGCGGAGTGAGGGAGGAGCGGGGATGAGGGGGGACTTGGCATCGCTCGGACGTGTGCAGTTTGCCTTCGGCGAGGACCATCGAGGAGCACCCTCGATCATTTGGCGAAAAAGCCACGCACGAAGCCGAACAAAAAAGCACAGGGGATGGACGTCCGAGCGATGGCTAGAGGGAGGGAAGGAGTGAGAGAGGGAGGATAGAGAGATGGAAGGAGGAGTATCCGACTCTTTCCGCGACGACCTCCAGACACGTTCAGGTTCGCGTTCTGAGCAGAGCTTCGCTGCGGATGTGGGGCCATGGCCCATGGCCACGGGGACCCAGGAACGTCGCCGGGAAGCCCCGAAGGCGAGCAGGAGCACGGGGGGTGAGTCCAGACGGCTCCGGTGGCCGAGGAAAGACCAAGAGCGTGATACGTCGAACTTCGAACCTCGATCCTCCCAGATTGGCTTTTGGATCGTCGAGCTCGAACCCTTCGAAACGAGCCCAGATTCCCGATCATCGTACCCAGGCCAGAGAATTTCGGGGTCGGCAAAGAGGGGGGTGATGACTAGGGGGGTGGATATCATGGCGTGGGCCATGATATTTCCTCAGATTTCATGGCGCCTCTTGTTGTTTTATTACTTCCGAGCCCCAGCCCCCCCACCCTGGGCCGCGCACATGCCGCCGGTCATGATTTGCACCCCCCCGGACGCCCCCTCTTGGCCGCCCCTGAAAATTTGGATCCTCCAACCGCGCGATCCTTGATCCCCTACAGTGGAGACCATGCCAAGAAACGCCCTGCTTGCCTCCAAGGGTGCCCTGGGCTTCTTGGGCTTCGGTGGTTGCGCTGCGGACGACGTGGCGTGCCCACACCAAAAATCAATCGACGTCTTTCAGGAGGGGAAGAAAACACAGACACAATTAATCGTCGATCCCCAGGGACATGTAGGAAAATATTGGAAGTGGAGGGGAAGACAAAAACCCAGAAAAGATGGGAGATCTTTTTATTCGTGTGTATTTTTTGTGTGTTTGTGGGCCCCTTCAGTCTTGGGGTCTCAGGGTTGGCTTTCTTGTGGAAGGTTTCCTGTGGACTGGCCTCCGCTGTATGGTCTGCCTGCGTCCCGCCGCAGGGCGCCGCCGCCCCCTCCCGCAAGCTGCTGCCGGCGGAGGAGCCGCTGGCCGCCGTCGGTGCCGTCGCCCAGCGGCCGTCGTCGCTGCCGTCGCCCAGCGGCAACAAACAATGCAACGCCGCAAAACATCACGACAGGAGGCCCGGGCCCCATCTCTCCACGTCATTCTTCGCGCTGGACCGATCTGTGAGGATGTCCCGGGGCCCGAGATGGAGCGAAGACGCCCGGCTCGACAAGATATTGCGTCGCCAGAATCTCGGGGGATGGACATGCCCGACTTTACCTCAGTGTTAGGTCGGACATGGCCTCATACGGTCGGGGCGTTGACCTAAGGAACCCTAAATAAGGAACGAGGCCCCTTTTTTCCATAAGTTAACCTTCGATTTCCTGTCGAAAACACAAGGAAAGCCTGAGGCAAGCTGTGAAACACTTAAGGAACGCGGAGCCCCTCCCCAACGAAAAGGGTTCCTTCTTCAGGGCCCCGAGTGTACAGCGAAGACGCTGAAATACGGTCAAAACTGATCTCGGAGAAGCAACAGGTACCCATACCTCTACCCTTCGCCCGTTCTCCCCTTTTTGGGACTCCTCGGAGGCCCTCGTCGCTGCCGCTGGATTTGCCTCGACGTCCTGGTCACAACGCATCCTGGGAGAGGTCCGCGGCGTAGCAGTGTCGGTACCTTTTGGTTTCCCTCATGCAGCCAACATTGATCGTAAGGATGCGCGATGAGGATGCAAGCCCCCCTTGGACGCCCGCGTTGAAGCCTCTTCGAGCGCGGCGGGCCATCGAAAGTAGTCAAGGATCGACCAAAGGGGCACGGATGCAATGGGACCCCCCTCGGGAAGGTTGCCCATCCCGCCGCTAATTCACGGAGGTCCGCCCTCCGTGCGACGGGACATCCTCGAATGGCGGCCCAGCCACCATCCCCTTTGTCAAGACACAGATGCCGCGGTCATCGGCTTGTGCTTCATCCCATATGTCCACGTACGGCGGGGGCGTTGGATCAGGAATGCCCTCCGAGGTGCCAGACCCTGGCGCGTTCCTTCCTGCGTCGAGGCGGGGTGGGTGGCACGCGTCTTGCCTCCCATCCGTCGCGAGACCCCGGGTTCCTTATCCGAGGGCTCCTTATCAAAGGCCTCCGCCGTGAAGGCAAGGTTCCGATTGTAAGGACCAGAGGAGGAGGAGGAGGAGGAGGAGGAGGAGGAGGAGGAGGAGGAGGAGGAGGGAGGAGGGAGGAGGAGGAGGCGGAGGAGGAGGAGGAGGAGGAGGAGGAGGAGGAGGAGGAGGAGGAGGAGGAGGAGGAGAGGGAGGAGGAGGGGGAGGAGGAGGAGGAGGAGGAGGAGGAGGAGGAGGAGGAGGAGGAGAGGAGGCGGAGGCGGAGGCGGAGGAGGGGAGGAGGAGGAGGAGGAGGAGGAGGAGGAGGAGGAGCAGGAGGAGGAGGCGGAGGCGGAGGCGGAGGAGGGGGAGTAGGAGGAGGAGGAGGAGAAGGAGGAGGAGGAGGAGGAGGAGGAGGAGGAGGCCGAGGAGGAGGAGGAGGAGGAGGAGGAAGAGGAGGAGCCCTTCCTCCCACCGGGTCACGTCGTGGCGGGCGTCCCGTGGCGACCGTGGGCGTTCTGTAGCGCTCGCAGGGTGGTGGTGTTCACGGACATGCTGTGGTGCTCAGAGGCACGCTGCGGCCTTCGCGGGGTGAAGTTTCGGTCACGCGGTTGTAATGTTTCTCAGAGGCATGGGCGTGGCGCTCGTAGTTGCCAGCGCTGGGGTGCACGTATGCAGGAATTGATGTCCGAACAGGTGTTGTTGTGTACGCAAGCGATGTGGTGTTCACAGTCGCTGTGGTGTACTACGCGTGCGCTTCGGGCCCAGCGTCGCGGGCCAGAAATCAATACTCTAACGAAGTTGACCACGATTTTCCGGATTTGGGGCCCCTTCGGGACCTGGGAGGGTTCATACAGTCGTGTTGGCGTATGCAGGCACAGCGGCGGTCGCAGGCGCCATGCGCTGTAGTGAACACATTTACGGCGACTGCACAAATATCGTGGTGTACACAGGCCGTAATGGTGCACGGGGACCGCGCCACGGCCCGCAAAAATCAGTAACCGTGCGTGCATATCAAGATGACTGTGCGACGTCCGGGCGCACCACGGTTTTCTAGAGTTTTGGCCCTGTCGGGCCTTTGGGTCCCGTAAGCCTGCTTTGTTGTGCACGCAGGTGTGTACACAGGCATGGTGGCGCACGCAGTCTCTTGGGGCTGCGGTGCACGAAGGCGCTGCCGGCCCGAAAAGAAGGGCGGGCCGTGCCGGGGTCCACAATAATCAGTGACCACCAAAAACATGAATAGTGAACGTGGGACTTCTGTGGGCCCGCGACGATGTGCTAGAGTCGGGGCTCTGAAGAAGGAACCCTTTTCGTTGGGGAGGGGCTTCGTGTTCCTTGATTGCTTCACAGTTTGCCTTCTGTTTTTCGCAGGTTTTCGATGGGACATCGAAGTTTAACTCATCGAAAAAAGGGGCCTCGTTCCTAATTTAGGGTTCCTTAGGTCAACGCCCCGACTGTAGAGTGTGGGCCCAGTCGGGGCCCGTGCGGGTGTGCGCAGGCGCTGTGGTGCAACAGGCGTTGTGGTGGTCGCGGGCGCCAGGCGCTGAGGGTGCACACAGGTGCCAGTGTTGGACAGGCGCCGTGGTGCACGCAGGTAAAGTCGGGGCGCTGAAGCAGGAACCCTTTTCGTTGGGGAGGGGCTCGGTGTTCCTTGATTGTTTTACAGTTTGCCTTGGGTTTTCCTGAGGTTTTCCATGGAAAATAATAATTCAACTTATAGGGAAAAGGGGCCTCGTTCCTTATTTATCGTTCCTTAGGTCAACGCCCCGACTGTATCGTGAGCCAGAAGTACAAGGGGGGAAGCGTACCAGGGGCCACAACATCTGATACTCGCAAGTTGTGTACATCTTGACTGTGACACGTGCAAGCCCACGGCAATTTTGCACACGGCCGCTGCGGTGGCGCAAGCATCGTGTTCGACACGGGCGCTGTGGTGCACGAGTGTCTTGCGGGCCTCAAACAAAGGGTGGTCGCGGCTGAGAGGCGATGTAATCGTAACCGAAAGTCGGAGCACTGCGAACATGTCACGGAATTCGGCTTTGTAAGCGCTCAGGAGACAACGGACATGTTACGAGTTCTGGTTAGGAGAATGAGGAGGATGGATAATGCTGGAGGAGGAGGAGGAAGAGATGGAGGGGAGGAGGAGGACCCTCTCCCTGTGGGTGCGCTGAGGGCGTCTCGGGTTGCAAGTCTAGGACCTTTTTGTCCTTTCCCTCTGCACGCGCAGGACGTTGCCCCACCCTTGCACAGGCTACGAACATGCTGCCCGATAGCTGACTGACTGACTGAGTGCGGTCGGACCGAGGTACAAGATCGAGGTCGATCCGAGGAGGATGCCCGAGTGTTCTTGTGCTTCCCGGGGGAGGTCACCCTCGAATATGCTTCAGTTTGGGCCGGCGGAGGGTCCCATGTTCTTGATTAGGTCCGACCGTGACTGTCAAGCAGTGACGAAGCGTCTTGGCTCGCCTATAGGCCCACTCAAGATTGTTCTAAGAACCTATTGTGGTTTGCACGAAATGCTCTCAGATCAGCTCTGGCTGTGCCTATCTTCTTTTAACACATCGGATGCATGTTCTAAGCACAGCGTTTGTGTTCTTAGAAAATTAGTGCGTCCTGAGATCACTTTGTGGTAGGCCTACAGGAATGGCGGGACGGTCGGTCCCTGCTCAAGATGGTTGAGGAGCAGGACCCAGCAGGAGGGGGTCCCGAGGACGGAGGAGGAGGAGGAGGAGGAGCAGGATGAGGAGGGGGAGGAGGAGGAGGAGGAGGAGGAGGAGGAGGAGGAGGAGGAGGAGGAGGAGGAGGAGGATGGTGGGGGGGCCCGAGGACCTGGATCGGAACCTGGCGCTCCGCGAGGGCGAGCGCCTCGAGGCCCCCACCCCCTCGGCGAAATCGCTCAGCTCCTCCCCTCGCCTGCCGCTCCCTGACCTCGCGGCCTCTGGCCTCATCTGCCCCCTCCCCCCGAACCTTCTTGCGCGCCCCCTCCTCGGGTGATGGGCCCGTTTACCACCACCGCCGCCCTGAGTTGGAGGGAGAGGGGGTCCTCCTCCTCCTGCTGCTCCTCCTCCTCCTCCTCCTCGTCCTCCCTCCTCCTCCTCCTCCTCCTCCTTCTCCTCCCCTCCTCCTCCTCCTCCTCCTCGTCCTCCTCCTCCTCCTACTCCTCCCCCTCCCTCCTCCGCCTCCTCCTCCTCCTCCTCCTCCTCCTCCTCTTCGTCCTCCTCCTCTTCGTTCTCCTCCTCCTCCCCCTCCTCCCCCTCCTCCTCCTCCTCCTCTTCGTCCTCCTCCTCGTCCTCCTCGTCCTCCTCCTTCCCCCCATTCACCTTATGGTGGTGGTGGTGGAAAACAGGCCCACAATCGGGTCGGACGACCACGGGTTAAGTCGGGCCTGTCCTTCTATCAGGAGGAGTATTCAAACACAGTCAGAAAAGATTCCAGCGACGATGCTTCGAGTTCTTTATTTGTGGTTTGTTGTTGGTTGGCTTCTGTCGGTGTAAATAAGAACATAGTGCGAAGGCCTTACGGCCGGTGCCGCCGACCCTGCATGGCGGCGACAACCACAACCACAACGACGAAGCTCTCGGGGGCCTCCTGGGGGTAGTTTTGGGGCCTCTTGGGAGGCTCATGGGGGCCGCTTGGGAGCCTCGTGGGAGCCTCTCGGGGCTTCCTGGGGTTCTCTTGGGGGCCTCTTGGGGCTTCTTGAGGGGCTTCTTAGGGGATTCTGGGGGTCTCCTGAGAGCTTCTCAAGCCGAGGGCTCGAAAAGTCCGTTCGGATCCCCCGTCTGGGCTCCCTCTTACAACCGATTGGGAGCCTCTTCTATTGTCTTGGAGGCCTCTTGGACGGTCTTGGGGCCCTCTTGGGTCGTTTTGGGGCTCTCTTGGACCCCTCTTGGGCCATCTTGGGGCAGTCTTGGGGGCCTCTTGGCCTGTCTTGGAGCGTCGGGAAGCTGACAATGCGAGAAAGCCGACATCTGTCAAAAGCTAAGGGACATCTGTGATTTTTATTCCTTGGTGCCCTCTTTAAAGTCCTCTTAGAGGCCTCTTGGGATGTTTTGCGAACCTTTGAGCCGTCTGGAGGCTACTTTGGCGACTTGGACCGATAATTCAGCGATTCGGGACCCTCAAGGACCGTTTTAGGAACACCTTGGGGCATTTTTGCCGTGTCTTGCGGCTGTTCTGGGCCCCCGAACCGCCCGGGGGGGAGTCGTACTTGACCCGGGACTTCCCCGGAATTTCCCCGGGACCCCACCCCTGGCGGGGAAGGGATCAAAGGGAAGGGGCTTCCCTTCGACTCCACTACAACGTTGCTCAATTTCGCTGTGGCTGGCGCGCTCGACGACGACAACGACCACGACGACGACGACGACGACGACGACGAGTCAAACGGAACAGCCTCGTCCACACGCCGACAGGGTCGGTGGATTTTTGAGTATTGTATTTTTGTTTTCCGGCCAAAAGCCGCCTGTAGGAGGACATGCCCGACCTAAGACTTCGGCGGAGAGGTTTTCGGCGGCTGGCCGGCGGTTTCCAGCCTCGGGATGCCTTCCAGCAGCTGCGCCTCGTTGGGAGGCGTTCCCCGGGGGGCCCGAAGCGTCCCGAACGGCCGCCAGAAATTCGAGATCCGAGTTCTGGTAAGGGGCCTATCCGGGCGAAGAACCCAGCCAGACGCAACAGTTGTACCTCAAGGTAGGTTGGACGAAGAAGGGGCGAGCTCGCTGTAGGGCCACGAAGTATGAGGAGGGTGCGCCAAAATGGGCGGGGGGACACAAGCGGACCATGGCAACTGGGCCTTCGTTGGGGCTCCCTGTGCGGCCGCGAACTTTTGAGGCGACCCACCCGCGACCTACCCACACTGGTTTAACGAATCAATCGACGCCTGCAGCGGGCTCGTTGTATCATTTGTGAAATTTTGGCGCCTGCGGCGGGCTTCTCCGGAGTCTCGCAGACGGCCGACGTCCCCACCGCCCCCTCGCTCTTATCCGCATCTGCGGGGCGCTATGGTATATGCCCATGGGCACGAGGCGGGGGGGGGGCCCGGCAGGGGGCCCGATATCCGAGCTGATTATTTCGATGTTCCGGCGGTCCGCTGAGGCCCGACGCCAGCACGGCGCCCTGGGGCAGCCTCGCTGGACCCGTGTTCGATTCCGCTGCGATGATGCGGCCGGACCTTTTGCACATCTTGATCCGATCCACCGATGCGGTGTTGGCTGACGCTGCACCTCCCATCGAAGAAGAAAAAAAACACCACCAAATTAAACTTTGAGCGCTCCGCGGGATTTCCTGGATCCGCGCTGGGCCCCCCCGGCGGCGCCTCCGGCGCCGCTCCTGGCGCGCTCCGCGCGCCAGGGAGGGGGGTCCAGCGCAGATCCAAAAAGTCCGTGCGGAGCGCCAAAATGTGTGTTTAATCATAGCGTTTAACCGATCCCTATCCCCATCCTCATCATCCACATCTCGAGCCCCACCGTCTCGCCACCTCAGCTGGGGATGTGCCCCTCGAAATCCAAGGAGAGCAACCTACATCCCCATCCAGGGGGGTAAATCGGCCAGTGAGGCCCAACCCACGCTTGTGGGGATGGGGATCGGTTGCCCTGACCTTTCAGGAGGGCTAAGAAATAGCTCCTAGACCTAAGTACCCAAATCCCAGTCGAAATTTCTGACCAGTCCGGACAGGTCCATAGGTCCAGAGCGTTATTTTTCGGCACTCTGGAAGGTCATGGTAAACGAGGTTCATGTTTGGTTTAACGATGCTCATATATGCAGTTTTGTCTTCTTCTACCCGATCTCGACTCCGCGACGATGAGGCTGGATGGTTTGCCCCCTTTGATCCGATCCACCGACTCGATGCTGGCTGACGTCCTCCTCCCTCTCCTCCCCCTCCTCCTGCTTCTCCACCCCCCAGAGCTTCGGGGCATGCCCCCTGCTGGCCCTAGTGAGAAGTCAGGGCTGTTGCACAACCGAATCGCAGGGGATTATGCCAGAAGCGCGCAAGGCACCAGTGCAGGTGTGCTGACGTTGACCCCCTCACGCGGATGTCCTGTCCTGTCCTCCTCCTCCTCCCTCCTCCTCCTCCTCCTCCTCCTCCTCCTCCTCCTCCTCCTCCTCCTCTCCTCCTCCTCCCTCCTCCTCCTCCTCCATCCTCCCTCCTCCCTCCCTCCTCCTCCTCTTCCTCCTCCTCCTCCTCTCCTCCTCCTCCTCCTCCTCCTCCTCCTCCTCCTCCTCCTCCTCCTCCTCCTCCCTCCTCCTCCTCCTCCTCCTCCTCCTCCTCCTCCTCCTCCTCCTCCTCCTCCTCCTCCTCCCTCCTCCTCCTCCCTCCTCCTCCTCCTCCTCCTCCTCCCTCTCTCCTCCGCCTCCTCCTCCTCCTCCTCCTCCTCCTCCTCCTCCTCCTCCTCCTCCTCCTCCTCCTCCTCCTCCTCCTCCTCCTCCTCTCCTCCTCCCTCCTCCTCCCTCCCTCCTCCCTCCTCCCTCCTCCCTCCTCCCTCCTCCCTCCTCCCTCCTCCTCCTCCTCCTCCTCCTCCTCCTCCTCCTCCTCCTCCTCTCCTCCTCCTCCTCCTCCTCCCCCTCCTCCCCCTCCTCCTCCTCCTCCTCCTCCTCCTCCTCCGCCTCCTCCTTCTCCTCCTCCTCCCCTGCAGAGGCCTCGCTCCTGAGGCCCGTGGGCGGCGGCTCTTTCGCGGTGTGCACCAGCGCCGGGCGCGTCTACGCCTTCGAGGCCCTGGCGGGGGGGCGCTCCCTTCCGTGGGCTGCGCGCAGGAGCGGCCCTTTCGGTCGGTGGATCAAGCAGCGGCGAAGCGTCCTGGCTCGCCTATAGCCCTACCAAACAATGTTCTAAGAATCTTTGGTGGTTTCCACGAAATGTTCTTGGAACATTTCTGGCGGAGTCTGTCTTGTTTCACCACATTGGGTTTATGTTCTAAGAACATTGTTTTTGTTCTTAGAACTTGCTGGGGTTCTAAGAACATTTCGTGGGATGACTATAGGAATGCCGGGACGGTCGGTCCCTGCTCAACAGGAGCGGCCCTTTCGGTCGGTGGAGTGCCAGGTCGGGCGTGTCCCTCTGCAAGAAACAGTCAGAAATAGTCAAGACACAGTCTGGGGACGATTTTTTGTTGTATTTTGGATTCTTTGGGGTGGCATGTTCTGGCTTGTGTTATTTTTCGCCCGAAGTCCGCCTGTAGGGGGACACGCCCGACCCATAAAACGGCCCCTCGGTGCAGTGATCTCTCGTGCTCTTTTCGGGCGTTTTCGTCGGCTCCTGTCGGGTAATTATTGCGAGCTCTGCAGGGCGTACGGCTGGTGCCGCCGACCCTGAAGGGGGGGCGACGGCGACGACGACGACGACGACGACGACGACGACGACGACGACGACGACGACGACGACGACGACGACGGCGATGACGACGACGACGACGTCGACGACGACGACGACGACGGCGATGACGACGACGACGCTGACGCCTAGGAGCCGAAAGCTTCTCCTCGCCGGGAGGGGCTGGGGTCACAGACTCAGGGGCCCTCCCAGGCCCCCCCACCCTGGACCCTCCCCGGACCTCCCCCGGGGACGTCCCTCCCATGGACCCCTCCCGGGACCCCGATCCCCGGCGGGGGAAGGATCAGAAGGGAGAGGTTCCTTTCTCGACTCGATGGCGAGTCTGGCTGGAACGCTTGAGGGGGAGCGGCGACGACGGCGGCGGCTCAAACGGAAAAGCCTCACGCAAGCTGAATGGGGGTGGGCGACGCACACGTCGACAGAGAGCATCTGCACCGGTGCACTTAGGGGGCCAAATGTGAACACTACCCCTACCCCCCACGATTTCTGAGGGGAAGGGTGGGGTTCACTTCGCTCGGGAGCTCCCGAACGACGTGAACCCCACCCTCCCCCTCAGAAATCGTGGGGGGTAGGGGTAGGGTTCACATTTGGCCCCCTATCACTGGACATTGGCATTCGAATTCGCTGGTGCATTCGCTGATCGCCGTGCGTTTCGCCGGATACACCCGGGCGCTTTGGAACGTCGATAAGCGACCCCATTGCGGTCCTCTCTATGAATGCGGTGCCGTGCGCACGTGGAGGGCCCGCCCCTGGCACCTTTCACTAAATATAGCGCTTTGCCTTCCTGCCCATCTTCGATCCCAGGGGTTTGGCGAACGAACAACACACACACCCATACCCATAGGGAGGTCGGAGGGAGGAGGACTGGCTATGGGTCTGGGTGCGGGTTGTCGGACCCCTGAGGAGGCTCCCGTTCGAACGGGGACCCCTATCCGACAACACGCACCCATAGCTCATTCCGTCTCCCCTATGGGTGGGTATGGGTGCGTGTTGATCGTTCGTCAGGGTTATCCTGCCTCGGGAGGCGTTCCAGCAGCCACGTCTCGCCGAGAGTGCTCCAGGAGTTCTGCCCGGATCCTGCCAAAGGACCCTTAGAGTTAAGTCGGGCATGCCCCTCGACAGGAGGAAGATCCAAACATAATCAAAAGATAACATGGGGACGATTGGTCTAAATTGTTTTGCGACATTGTTGGGGCATTGTTTCAAGATTTGTTTTGTTAAATTTTCGCCTAAAATCTGCCCGTCGGAGGACGTGCCCGACTCAACGCTGTAGGCGCGAGTCCTGCTCCAGAGCTGGGTGGCGCTTCGCCAGAAGTGGCTTCTCGGTGTGGGCCCGCTGGGGCCCCCCAGCCCACGGGTCTGCGCGCTGGGATTCGCCCGCTCCCCCCCCCCTAGCTTCAAGTCGGGCCTGTCCCTCTACAGGAGGAATATTCAAAAGTAGTCTCAACATAGTCTGGGGACGATTTTTGTAGTATGTTTGACTACCTGGGAGCATTTTTCAGTATTTTTCGTCCACAATCCGCCTGTAGGGGGACATGCCCGACCTAAACGTAGTTGTTGCACCTTGACGGTCCTTAGCGGGCGAAGAATTGTGTGACATAATTTTGTCCGTCACCCGGGGCTTTGCCCCAAGGGCGGCTGGACAGTTTGCACTTTGACGCGCCACCGTAAGGGTATAGATTTTCCAGGCGCCTTCGGACATGCGCCCCCGACAGCGAAAAGTTGATGTTATATTGTTTTTCGCCCGTTGAAAAGTCTTGCTGGACCGTAAACCATGCGAATCCGCGAACCTCTCGCATCTCTTTAAGACGAACTTGCGCGGCGCTGAAGCGAGAGCTGTATTTTGAAAATAAGCCGCCCTCAATCCGTAACATTCCTACATGGTTTGAGACGAGCGTGTGCGCCGCCAAGGCGAGAGCCACGTTTTGAAAACGGCTCGCCCTCGATCCGTGACACACTGCCACATGTTGAAAACCACCCGCCCTCAATCCGCGAAACAGTTGTCAATTTCCAAGTTTCAATATTATAATTGGTGAGGGCGTCTCAGGCGAAACGCCCAGCTCGCCCTTGGGACCAGCCTCGGGGTGCGTCAGGGAGGAGTAATTTTTCGAATGGCATTCGGCCCATCCTGCCATGCCTTGGTTGTGGGTCAGAGTTCAGGGATGCTTCTTCGGGTATTTCCGGAGCGCTCTCGGGGGCCTCTTGAGAGCAGTTAGGGGGCCTCTTGGGAGCCTGGGGCCTCTTGGGAGCCTCTTGGGGGCCCATTGGGAGCCTCGTGGGACCTCAGCTCGAAATGTCCTTTCGGGCTCCCCACCGGGGCCCCCTCTTTGGGTCGTCTTTGGGCCCTCTTGGGCCATCTTGGGCGCCTCCTTAGCCATCTTGGGGCCTTCTTGGGCCGTCTCGGGGCCCTCTTGGGGGCTTCTTGGTTCGTCTTGGGGCGATCTTGGGGGCCTCGTGGGCCGTCGTGAAGCGTCGGGAAGCAGAACAGTCGGGTTGACCCAAAAGGGGGTACAGCTGAAAGAGGGTGGTGCAATATATTTGGTGCAATAGATTTGTGGGGTTGCAATAAACTTGTGGCGTGCAATACATTGTGGGGCGCAGATGCATTGCTGGATTTTCGCGTGCAATACATGACTTGCAATACAATGCAATCCACTTCTCCGGCGCAATACGTTTGCAATCCAATTGCCCCAAATCTATTGCACCACCCCCTTTTGAGTTGGACCCCCTTTTGGGTCACCAAAAAAGGCGAGAACCCCCAAATCCTTGTAACACATACAGAAGCTGAATGATTTCTGCCTTATGGGACCACCTCGGGAGGCCTCTTCGAGGCCTCTTGGGGCGTCTTGGGCCGTATTAGGGCCACCTTGGGCGTGATGAGCCGATCGTTCTGCGACTCGGGGCCCTCTTTCTTAGGCCTTCTTGGGCACCTCTTGGGGCCCTCTTGGCCCCTCTCGGGGCCCTCTCGGGCTCCTGGGCCCGAAAACGTCTGGCGAGGAGTCGCGACGAGCCCCCGACGAGCCTCGCCAGGCCCTGGCAGATTCTGCAACTTGGGGTCGGGGCCGCTTCAGCACTCGTCAGGAGTGAGAATTGGGGCACGATTTGGGGTCAGGCCCTGCGGACACGCCCACTCTGTGCCAAGCGGCACGGTGGCGGATAAGGAGAAGGAGCGGAGGAGGAGGAGGAGGAGGAGGAGGAGGAAGAGGAGGAGGAGGAGGAAGAGGAGAGGCAAGGGAGGAGGTTCGAGGATAAGACCTGGGCTGAGGTGTGGGGCCTGGTCTGGACGCGCAGCGAGGACTGGGGCTGTCTCGAGCACGTGCGTGTTGTCAAGATGCGTGCGCACAGCGTGCGTGCACATGTTCAGAAATGTCTCAGCTCGGAGGTTTCCGGGTCTGGGAATGACTGCGCTGACGATACTTAAGGCGCAGTGGCAGCGCGATAGATCCCGCATCCCCGCCGAGTTGAGAACCGTCGCAAGGTCAAAGAGAACGTTCGTTCCGGTTGGGGATCATGGGTCGCCCAGGTCGGCCCTCCTCTCGCTGACATGGACTGTGTTCAGACGACTGACAAGCAGGAGGCTGGCGGTGCGAAGCCTCACGCCATGCGGCTTTGCCTCGTCGCTCCTCCTTCCGCCACTCCTGCTGTGATGCATCGTGCGGATCTCGCGCGTGCCGGGCAGCCATGTGCAGGGGGCCGTGCGCACATTTCCCACCAGCTTGTGGAGGGGAGGCGGTGTGTAACCTGCGTGGTGTGTTGGAGGGGTGGGAGCTCTGTCTGTAGCGTTCGCCTATGCATGCCCTGGACGGCGGCCTGCTTGATCCTTGGGTGCTCCTGTCCTTTCCGCCGATGGCGATTTCAGATAAACAAGGAGTGGCACGTCCTGGTGCAGACTCGGTTCTGCTTAAATCATCGGTGTTGATGAGACTTCCAGCGCGCACTGACCAACTCGTTTGGCTTTCATTTGATTGGTATGCGTGGGGGCAAACGTGGGAAGGTCCAACCAGATGGCAGCTCCACCCACCTCTGTGCATCGGTGCACCCGTTCCGTTTGTGCTCAGGCTGTGTCGAGGAGTTGGAGGAGCAAGGAGGAACGGGAGGAGATACTAGGAGGAGGTGCCCTCCATCCTTCCCCTCCTCGTTGCGGGCGCCGCCCTGCTTTCGACGGGTGGCCCCACATGCGTTCGGGCACCCTTTGGCGCAGGTGGCACCGCAGCCGCGCCACCAGCCTCTACAGTCGGGACCCTGAAGAAGGAACCCTTTTCGTTGGGGAGGGGCTCCGCGTTCCCTAGGTGTTTCGCAGCTTGCCTCAGGTCTTCCTTTGGTTTTCGATATGAAATCGAAGTTTAACGTATGGAAAATAGGGGCCTCGTTCCTTATTTTGGGTTC